AGCCATGCCCAAGTGCTGAGAACGGCGTTTTCGGGATGTTCTTGGGGACCTCTCAACACTGGCTCGTACGGCAGCGATATTCTCGGCCGATCGCCTTGGTCGACTTTTATATGGCCTCTTCGGATTAAAAAGAGCCTTACCAGTCGAAAATTTTTCGTATAAACGCTTAATGGTGTTCTTAGAAGGCGCACTTCTCAATTTTTTAATGTTTTAAAAGCACGTTGAGTTTTCACAATTGACTTCTTCTATTGAATGTAAATTTTAACTATTCCAGAGCGCTCGCGTGGCGTGTATTGGTTCATGGTAAAAATCTGCTTGGACTGACGCTTCAAACGCGGTATGTCATTAAGCGAAGTTATGGCGTTGCCAGATGGGTCCGTCGAATATGGGCAACCCTGTAGTAGGTTGCTAATATTTCACGGAAAAGTAGTTTAGCTCCCTAGCCTCCATTTAACGATACCGTATGACTGACAAAGAATCGACGCCCAGACGAAACCGCTATAACTAGAACCTTGAAATTTTGCACTAGGGACAGTCTTGGTGCTTAGGCGTGTGAGCAGGCTAGATTTTTGGCAATTCGTACTGAAAGGATACGAAAAGTACTAAAAGGTACAAAAAATTGAATTCTATGTATTGAACAAATGTTAATTCGTATGAGAGTCACTGATGACGTGCATAACAGATTTACCGAAAGGTTTTTGGAAATCCTAACTTTAAGTTAACATCAAGTTCTAAAACTGTACCAAACTTCTATAATAGTACCATATAGTATTAGTAAACAGATAGAGCCAAAAAAAAAAAAACATTTAGTATGAGAATCAAGGTACGAAAATAATTTTTATACCCTACACAACGTAGGGTTAAGGGTATTATGCCTGGAGAAGGAAGCTAGATAGACCCATAGTTACTTTTTTGAGGATCTCCATAGAATCCATTTCTGAGTCGATTTATGCATGTCAATACGTATACCCGCCCGTCCGTCCATGTATTATTGTGAACAAAATGAAGGTAGCATTTATTATCCGATTGAGATGAAATTCTACAAAACAATATTTGTTGATGATAATCTGATCAGATTTAGATATAGCTCACATATATCTTAAAGCGATTTCGGGTTAATTGTGCACCAAATAATTAATATAAGTCCAAATGACCTGAATTTTGGTACATCTGACCGAATTCAGTCTAGAAGCAAGTATATCAAATTTGGAGAAAATCGGTTCAGATATATGATATTTGGTACCGGATATCAGATACTGCTCGAAAATACCTCTGCCAAATTTTATCAACATCGGTTCAGATTATGATATAGCTCCCATATATATCAGGTTTATCGTGCACCAAATGGCTACTATCAGCCTAAATAGGCTGAATTTTGGTAATTACGACTGAATTAATCCTATAAACCAGTACTTCAAGTTTGGTGTAAATCGGTTCAGATATTGCTATAGCCCCCATATATGTTTTGTCCTCACAAGCGTTATATGCATTCAACATCAACTATATTTGGTACCTGATATCTTATAAAGCTCGGAAATACCTTTCGATATTCATATATATATTCTTAATCCGATTTAAGGTTTATTGTGCAAATAATTGCTAATATCAGCCCAAATGGAGTGAATTTCGGAACGCACATTTCCATTTTTTGCAACTCGGCTCCGATATATATTTTCTTAATATAATCTTTCTCCAAGATTATAGTTGCACTCTATAGCAAACTATAATTGATCTAAAGCCAAATGTTGATAGGTGGTATGATCTTCTTGAAATAAATTCTTTTGTTACGTGAGCTCTACTAAATATGCATAGTGGTGTAGGGTATCATATAGTCGGCCCACCCGACATTTGATTTTTCCTTACTGTTTATATATGAAGGTGGCTTAGGAAATGTGTACAAAGTGATCGAATTGTACCAAGTGGTACTAAATTTGGAACAGTTTATGTTAGGGTGAAAGGAGGAAGCCGGAATTTTGAAATTTTGTATTGGGGTCCCTGTTGATGGTAGGTTTGTGATAAAGGGGACATTTTGTGTGTCCTCTAAAAGTGCACGGAAAGTACTTAATATATTTGGTAAAATTTAGTATTCGGTAAACAAAGGTCTTCTATTCTGAAATTTGACATTAGAAATATGTACTATAATTGTACGAAAAGTTCTAAATGGTATTATATTTGGTATTTGGTGAAGGGATTGAGATGAAATTCTGCAATTTGATAGTAAGATTACGTATTATTGGTTTGTACATGCGTCCTATATTTATACGAAAAATACTAAATTTTGAATTGGGTGAAGGTGAAGGGCTGTAGTACTCAAATTTGTTATTAAGGTCTCTGGTGGTATCTGGGATTGAGATATGAGTATTTTTGGAAATGTGTACAACAATTGTTCGAAAAGTACTAAATTTGGTATTAGATAAAGGAATAGAGAAAATCCTGAAATTTGAATGGATATCACTGTTGGTGCTCCTGTTTGAGAAAAGGGCCTGGTTTTGGATATGCATACTGTAATTATACTGAATGGTACTAAAGTTGGTAATAAAAGGTATTAAAAAGCTGAAATCCTAAAATTTGATATTAAGGTCTCTATTGGTATCTGGTATAGAGATCTGGATGTGTTTTTACAAGTGTGTTCTATGATTGTTCAAAAAACATTAATTAGAAATGGAGATTGTTTTAGATATGCCTATTAAATATAACTAAATTTTGTATTGGGTGAAGATAAAGAAGTGAAATTTGATATTAGGATCTCTATCGGTGTCTGGGGTTTACATATGGAGACGTTGAAATAGTTTTGGACAGAAAAATTGGACGTGGGTCCATTGTGCAATTGTTTTACTAATTTCCTCCTCGGTAAACTTCAAAATAAAAGATTTTGAAGACTTTTTTATGTTAAAGGTAAACAATTTACTATTATTCTTTCCGAAAAAAGAAAAAATATTGAATAATATAAAAAACATTGATTGTCAGACAGAGCGGATACTTGATAGCTATAAATTCACTGTGCGATAAATTTTTTTCAATAATTACGGGAAATCTAGCAGATTATGAAAGTAGAGCTGAAAACAGAAGAAACGTGTACTGGCGTTTTTGCCCTCTTCCATAAATTTGGAAATTCTCAGATTAAGGTTCCTAGTGTCTTCGGCAGTATTTCAGATCAAACTAATGGGATATATTTTACCTACCTGAACGTAACAATCAATTTCGTTTTTGGCAAAAGCTCAGAATAACGCTAAATGCGAATATATGTTCTTTATGGTGTCAAGCCTGATTACTTCAATGAGTTACGGAGCAAAAATATTTATTAAACATACACTTATTATGCTTTTGCCCGAATCTGTACTCATATACAACTGAATCTTGTTTTCCTCAAATTAAAGATACGTCTTTGGTAGACATTTTATTCTTTTGTCTTATCTTCGCAATACAACACATATTTACAATACATGAAGCTCGACCGACGAATGTCGTTCCAGCAGTTTTTCATTGTTGTTATTGTTTTTGTTCTTGTCATTACACGGCCATTATGTGCGATCAGTAATTCTATTGTTCTGCGTAGCTTCCAGCTAAACGACTGTCGAGTATTACTTTTTTTTTTGAAACAATGCCAACAAATTATTTAATTACCTTATATATAACAAATAATTGCAGGTATAATTAAATGCATACAAACATAAATGCATTCGCCACACAATTGACATTATATTATTATTATTTTAATTATGTTTGTTCTTAACATAATTGTGTAAAATATGCATTTACATAGATACAAATTAAAGTAACTCAAGCTGTTAGACATCTTTACTCATTGCCATTTTTCATGGTATTGTAGCATATATAATCCGAGTAAAAGAAATTTCCTTCATTTTATTTATTTATTTATTTATTTATTTATTTTATTTTATTTTTTTTTTTTTTTTTTTTTTTGAAAAATAGGCTCAGTTTCAGTTTTCAATCGATTTTGGAGAATTTCAGCATATTTCCTCAAAAAGGCCTTCTTTTCAAGTTGAATTGGCTGTAGTGTGGCTTGTACGATTTTTATACCCTCCACCTTGGAAAGGAGGGTATATTAACTTTGTCATTCCGTTTGTAGCATCCTTAAATATTCGTCTTAGACCCCATAAAGCATATATATTCATAATCGGCATAAAATTCTAAGTCGATTTAACGATGTCGGTCTGTCTGTCTGTCTGTCTGTCTGTCTGTTGAAATCACGATACAGCCCACATTATTTGACGTAGAGCGCCAAAATTTAGCAGAGCAATTGGTATTGTGTCTAGGATGGTTGGTATTGAAAATGAGATATATCGGTCAACGTTCTGGTATAGTTCGGTATTTTGATGATTTATGCCACATTTTTTTCACGGATTTGTCTGAAAATTGGTATATGTAGGTCATAACGGGTCCCTGAGCGTGTGGCAAAACATTGCATGTATAGGTCCACGTTGTGGTATAGCCCCCATATAAAGGTACCTCCCGATATTCGGTAATTTGATGATTTTTGCCACATTTTTTCACGGATTTGTCTGAAAATTGGTATTTGTTGGTCATAATGGGTTCCAGCTTCGGTGGCGAAACATTGCATGCATGGGTCCATGATTTGATATAGCCCCCATATAACGATACCTCCCGATATTCGGTATTTTGATGATTTTTGCCACATTTTTTCACGGATTTGTCTGAAAATTGGTATTTGTGGGTCATAATGGGTCCTAGTTCGTGTGGCGAAACGTTGTAATTATAGGTCCACGTTTTGGTGTAGCCCCCATATAACGGTACCTCCCGATATTCGGCATTTTAATGGTTTTTGCCACATTTCTTCTAATGTTTCTTTTACCCTAAAGTGGAGGGTATTAAAAGTTTGGCCCGGCCGAACTTAATGTTTTTTTACTTGTGTGACGACGTGTTTTCACTTTGAAGCTGGGGTAGGTTCAGCGGGGGCCAGAGTCGTCACAAAAATTTATTTGTTAGGACATAAAGAGAGAGAGAGAGCGAAGCAAAAATATTTTCTTAAAACGTTATAAATTTATTTCCTTAAATAACACTAAACACTACACTAAACACAATAAAATCACGTTCAGAACTTTTTACGAAGAACACTAAATCACAAAGTTCAGTCGAAATGTTAATAAACGGGTAGCAGTGGTGGCAGCTTGGCACAGCGGCGGCCCGATGAATAGGCGAGCGACGAATAGAGAGTGGCGGCAGCTTGGCACAGCGGCGGCCCGATGAATAGGCGAGCGACGAATAGGGTGGCGGCGGCTTTGGCACAGCGGCGGCCCGATGAATAGGCGAGCGACGACTAGTAGTGGCGGCAGCTTGGCACAGCGGCGGCCCGATGAATAGGCGAGCGACGAATAGGGTGGCGGCGGCTTTGGCACAGCGGCGGCCCGATGAATAGGCGAGCGGCGAATAGGGTGGCGGCGGCTTTGGCACAGCGGCGGCCCGATGAATACGTCAGCGGCGAGTAGTAGTGGCGGCAGCTTGGCACAGCGGCGGCCTGATGAATACGCGCACGACGAATCGGGTGGCGGCAGCTTGGCACAGCGGCGGCCCGATGAATAGGCGAGCGACGAATAGGGTGGCGGCGGCTTTGGCACAGCGGCGGCCCGATGACTAGGCGAGCGGCGAATAGGGTGGCGGCAGCTTGGCACAGCGGCGGCCCGATGAATAGGCGAGCGACGAATAGGGTGGCGGCGGCTTTGGCACAGCGGCGGCCCGATGAATAGGCGAGCGGCGAATAGGGTGGCGGCGGCTTTGGCACAGCGGCGGCCCGATGAATACGTCAGCGGCGAGTAGTAGTGGCGGCAGCTTGGCACAGCGGCGGCCTGATGAATACGCGCACGACGAATCGGGTGGCGGCAGCTTGGCACAGCGGCGGCCCGATGAATAGGCGAGCGACGAATAGGGTGGCGGCGGCTTTGGCACAGCGGCGGCCCGATGACTAGGCGAGCGGCGAATAGGGTGGCGGCGGCTTTGGCACAGCGGCGGCCCGATGAATACGTCAGCGGCGAGTAGTAGTGGCGGCAGCTTGGCACAGCGGCGGCCTGATGAATACGCGCACGACGAATCGGGTGGCGGCAGCTTTGGCACAGCAGCAGCCCGATGAGTACGTCAGTCGCCGTCAACGCAGCCCGAAGAATAGGGAGTATTGCTACAGCCCTCACTCGACCCTGCGTTCAGTCGCCGTCAACGCAGCCCGAAGAATAGGGAGTATTGCTACAACCCTCACTTGACCCTGCGTTCAGTCGCCGTCAACGCAGCCCGAAGAATAGGGAGTATTGCTACAACCCTCACTTGACCCTGCGTTCAGTTGCCGTCAACGCAGCCCGAAGAATAGGGAGTATTGCTACAACCCTCACTTGACCCTGCGTTCAGTCGCCGTCAACGCAGCCCGAAGAATAGGGAGTATTGCTACAACCCTCACTTGACCCTGCGTTCAGTCGCCGTCAACGCAGCCCGAAGAATAGGGAGTATTGCTACAACCCTCACTTGACCCTGCGTTCAGTCGCCGTCAACGCAGCCCGAAGAATAGGGAGTATTGCTACAACCCTCACTTGACCCTGCGTTCAGTCGCCGTCAACGCAGCCCGAAGAATAGGGAGTATTGCTACAACCCTCACTTGACCCTGCGTTCAGTCGCCGTCAACGCAGCCCGAAGAATAGGGAGTATTGCTACAACCCTCACTTGACCCTGCGTTCTGTCCAGTCCAGTCTCCACAAATAGTCAAGGCTTATTGTTTGGCTTACTAAGACTCAATTCAACCGAGGTTGCGCGCCTTTTCTTCCTCCCAATCACACTTGACTTACCAGCCATCAACAGAAGACTGATCTCGATTGTGTGAAATGCGTCTCCTTTTATACCTTTTTGGCTGGACAACGATTGTTGTTTTCTCATGACAGCAGCTGATCCCAATCTGACAGTTTTGCGTAGTTCCGCCATTTGCCACCAGGGGTTCCAATGTTGTATTTTAAGTATACTTCTTTCTACTAGGGGACGTAAGTAAAAATGGTATTTAAAATAATAATGTACCCCAAAAACGAAAGCATGACTTTTGGGCGTTACATGGCATCTCTTCCTCCCTCTGATTTTTGATTCCTTGATTTGCTTTCTCTATTGCTATTGGGTTTCAATAGCCAGGAAGCCCTAGGGTGTTATGTAACCTTTTATTTCTCCGACATGGGCACTTTGGTTCGACTATATCTCGGTCGAATAGGAAGGTATGTTAGAGACCAATTGCAGAAGTTCGGAGAGATACCTTCACTACCCCGTCTGCTGATATTATTATGCGGTACTGCTTGCCATCTTGTTTAACAATTCGCTTCAGTTTGTGTCCCTTTTTCCAATTGTTTTTAAACTTCTCGATACGGATTTGTAGGTTTTCGGGATAATTTGGCAGTTCGAGAAATGTGTTATCGTTCACGGGATTGTCTGTCGAGGACGATGGCGTTGACTCAGTTGGGATTTCCGTGACTGGCAATTTGATTGTACTTGGTGTGCTATTATTCTCCTTACTGGGTATAAACACTTCATCGATGGAAGGTTGACTGCTACACAATGTTGGCTGATGAGGTGTCATCGTTTGGCTTGTGGATGATGATGAAGACGACGAGGCTGATGAGGATGAGGATGACGATAAAGACGACGAGGCTGATGAGGATGAGGATGACGATCGGGAAGATATCGATGGTGATGACAGTTCGACAACGTGTCCCGGCGTTCCTGGTAATGATTTATCTTCCTTCACGTTGGGGGACCTGTGATCGTCCGATATGACGGCAGCATTGGATTGCGATGGAATTTGTACGTCATCACTATGCAACAGATTTGCTTGTTCGGTTATGTTATATAGCGGTGATGATGGAGGAACACCAACCAGCGTCTGCCATTGGGTCCACCACTCAAGACTAGGATCTTCGGAAACTGTCACAAAACTACTTGCGGTCGATCTGGAGTCTTCTTCTAAATGTGCGAAAGCATGTGAGGATGAAGTAGGAACCTCCTCATGTTTGTGTGAGGTGTTGGATATTGAATGGATATCTTCGGTGTTGATCTCTTCCCCTATCGCGGGTGTGGGTGAGGGCGTACGATGATTATCCGGCGGTGGGTTGGTTATTTCATATATTGGATTTTCCCCGGAGTCGGGGACCAAAAGCTGCACAGTAACTGTTCTCTCATAACAGCGAAATCCGAGATATTTGTATTGGCTATCTTTCTGACGGACAAATCCCAGACCATACCTTTTTGGCGGAGACGAGGAACGTTGATCTTCGTTATCCGACTCATCCAGCGAGGAATTATTCGAGGATAAGGGTGACTGTGCTCGCCGAGTCACTGAGGTTTCTAAGTAACCGTAAAACATACGCCGACATTCTTCATCCATTTCGAAATTTGATTGAGATTCATCCGACTCCTCCATAGTGGGCCGAGGAAGAGTTGATGCGTCATCTGAGTCACGACACCATTCTTTACCCGGTGTAGCAGGCATTTCTGAGCACCTTGAAGTGGGTGTTGAGAGCACATCGGAAGCCGGCTTAAAGCTATTTGGCGAACCAAAACACGGGGCGTAGGTTGGTGTACGCGGGACGTCACTACTAGGCTGGGTTTCCTCGTTCAAAGAGTCAGTTTCATCGATATCGTCGCTGTTGTTTTCGGTCGTGTTACACTTTTGCTGTGGAACGTCATTCGGGGTTGTGCTGCACATTCGGTAGAATATTTGGTGCTGGGGCGATGAGGATTGACTGCTACCCTTTCTTGGATTGGGCTTACGGTATTGATTTGTTCTCCTCTTTCGGCTGGTACTAGGACCTTCGTCTAAAAATATTGTCCTTCGCCTTTGAGCCTCGACTTGTTCCAGATGAGCTCGAAATTTCTCCTTCGCCCGTTTGAATTTTTTCGTGTTGGGGCTATCTTGCTCCATCGTGATGTTGAAATTTTGAGAATTGCGATGGTCTTTGAAGTATGGGCTTATATTAGGACACTGATTAGTTTGGGTATTGTCAATTTAATGTCTAAAAATAAAATAAGAAATTATAATGAAATGGCATCACATAAACGTAAGTGGAACTACAATCAACATTCTACTTCTATGTCTACAATTTAATTTTGTTCGTCATAAAAAGGCTTAATTTCACTTAAGTGCGCGATGCGGGTGATGTTGTCTTTTCCTCGGACTACAACGATTACTGGAGATTGGAATTTTTGTACGACAAACGGCCCTCCGTATTTGGGCGCTAGTTTGGCGGCGAAATTTTCGACGGCCTTCGACTGAGGATGTAGACGAACTAGAACTTGCTCCCCAATCTTTGGTTTCCAAACTCGTCGTCTAAGGTTGTACTGTCTCCGCTGGTTTTGAGATGCTTTTGCCAAGTTTCGACGTACTATCTTAAATATTTCTTTCAACTCCTTGGCACGGTCTTCTGGTAAGACTATTCTAGCACCAGTTCCTGTTGTGAGCTGATCATATAATGCCTGGGGCAGTCGCGGTTCTCTTCCTTGTGTCAGGTATGCCGGCGAATATCCAGTGGATTCTGATGCACTAGTGTTTATGGCTAACATTATTTCGGGCAGCATATCGTCCCATGTATTATGTTGTTTCGAAACTTGTGCTATCATTGTTTTCACTGTCCGATTTGTCCTTTCAGTAGGGTTCTCTTGCGGGGTGTAAGGAGCCGTAAGTTGATGCTTTATACCCATTTCTGCTAGGAATTTTTCGAATTGGTTGCTAGTGAATTGGGTTCCGTTATCGGTTATCAATATTTTTGGAACCCCATATCTAGAAATAATTCTTTCTCTGCATGCCTTTATTAATCCCTCTGTCGTGGCCTTCCGCAATGGAACCAACTCCGTCCATTTTGAGAATCTATCCATAATAACGAGTAGCATTGAGTTACCGTGCTTAGATCGCGGTAGGGGTCCTACGAAGTCCGCACAAATAGTGGCCCATGGTTCCTCCGGGATTCTTATCAACATTTCCCCTGCTGGTTTCTGTTGGCTGACTTTATATTTTTGGCAACATTCGTACTGCTGGACATAACGTTTGATGTCCTGGAACATACCAGGCCAAAAATATCGGTTCGCCACCTTGTTGCTAGTCTTTCGCACTCCCAAATGACCTCCGGTGACACTGTCATGATTTTCTCTAAGGACCTGAATCCTTGATCCGGTGGGCACACACAGCTTCCATGGTGTGCAATCTTCATCGTTTATTTGCTTGGGAAAATGTCGATAAACATTTCCCTCAATGATTGTATAGTCTGGATACTTCTTCGGATTCTTGGTTATGGTTTCCTTCAACTTTTCTAGCCATGGGCACGGACTGGTGTCATATTTTACTGTGGCTAGGTCTAACGTTTCCAAAGGTGTTCTCGAAAGCGCATCCGCCACAACGTTCTGTTTTCCTCTACGGTATCTGATCAAAAAATTATATTGCTGTAGCTCGAGAGCCCAACGTGCGAGTCGACCTGTAGGGCTTTCAATAGAATTTAACCATTTTAGGGCCAAATGATCGGTAATAACTATAAACTGGTAACCCTCTAAATAGGGTCTCATGTGTCTGATGCCCCACAGTATGGCTAGACATTCCTTTTCAGTCGCTGAGTAGTTCTTTTCAGCCTGTTTTAAATGTCTGCTGGCGTAGGCTATGACACGTTCCACGTTATCTAACTCCTGTGTTAGAACTGCTCCAAGGCCATAGTTGCTGGCATCAGTTTGCAATATGAACGTCTTTGTGAAATCCGGACAAGCCAGAACGGGGGCTTCAGTTAACTTTGCTTTTAGGTCTGAGAATGCTTCTTGTTGTTCGGGACCCCATTTCCAATGTTTTCCCTTTTTAAGAAGACTAGTCAATGGTTGTGAAATTGTTGCAAACTGTGGGACAAATCTTCGGTACCAAGATGCTACTCCAAGAAATCTTCGTACCTCCTTTACCGATGTTGGAGGTTTCATTTCCACTATTGCGGCAACTTTATCTGGATCCGTCTTTATTCCCTCGCTACTCACAACATGGCCTAAATACTTCGTTTCTTTTCTGAAAAATTCGCATTTCTCAATGTTTATTCTCAGGTTAGCTGATCGCAATCTTCTGAACACTTCTCTCAAGTTCCGCAAGTGTTCCTCAAACGTTTTTCCAATGACGATGATATCGTCAAGGTATGCAAAAGCGTGGGGGTCCATTTCAGGCCCAATCACACTATCTAATGCCCGTTGGAAGGTTGCCGGTGCTGAATGCAAACCGAAAGGCATCACTTTCCACTGATATAGACCTTTACCAGCTACCGCAAAGGCCGTGTATTTTCTGCTCTCCTTCGCCATAGGTATTTGCCAATATCCGTCTTTAAGGTCCAGGCTACTCACGTATTTGGCATCCCGTAGTCGATTCATTATTGTGTCGATGCGGGGTAAAGGGTAGGCATCTGGAACAGAACGTTTATTCAATTGGCGAAAATCCATACAAGTTCTCCAATTCCCATTTTTCTTTCTGACTAATGTGATGGGGAAACAGTATGGGCTTGTAGACGGCTCTATACATCCTCGTTCTTCGAGCTTTCTCACTTCGGCATTAATCACGGCTTGCATTGCAGGATTTCGCGGAGCATATCTTAATTTAATGGGTCGATCGTCGGTCATTACAATCTTATGTTCAGCTATTGACGATAGGCCATTTAATTGTTGGAACTTAGGGAGTTCCTGTGCCAGAAAATTTTCAACGATCTCACATTGCGTTTTACTCAATTCATCGTTTAAGAATTTAGGTCTGGGGGATACATTATTCGTAGCTGTCATTGTATCTATTACCTCTTTTGATGGGGTTTCCTCTCCTATAGCCACGGTACAATGCTCCGTTGATGTGGTTGGCTTACTTAATTTGACACTTATACCGGCGCAGTGAATGGTCGTGTGGAACTGTTTTAGAAATTCCAATCCCAATATGATGTTTTCCTTGAATTGCGGCATGATGAGAAATGTAACATCTGAGCTTTGGTTTCCAAATGTAACAGGTAACACTGTTGATCTTGTGATGTTCACCGTGGTGCCGTCTGCGAGGATAACATTTGCCTCATGCCGTGAATAAGTAAACCTTTTCTTGATTTTTTCCGCAAATTCTCTTTTTATAAAACAGCTAGTGGCACCAGTGTCGACAGTTGCTTTAATAGCTTTCCCCTCTATTAAGACAGTTGCAGTAAGGCGATATTCTTCACATTGCAATGATGTAATATTCTGGTTACTCTTCTTTGCCGGGGGTTCATCCTGCTGCGTTTCTGGATTGGATGAGCTTTCGTCTAGCACTTGGTCACCTTGATTGGTGCAATACAGGTTATTTCTAGAGTTGTCCGCACGTCGATTATAGTTTTGTTGATTTCGAGGCTGTTCTGACCGAGAATTATTTGGTATGCTTTCGAGTTCGTCTGCCAAGGAGATCAATTCCGAAAGTGTTGTAAAGTCTTTACGGCGAATGTACCATTGATAATCCGAATGCGCGTTTCTAAAAATTCGTTCCAATTTTTGTTCTTCGGTCATATTGGTGTGCTGCATAAGATGCTGTATAGAGAGTACATATTCCTTAAACGGCTCCTTATTACGCTGTATCCTTCTCCTAATTTCATCCTCCAATTTCTCAAAGTATCTCGGTGGCAAAAAGAATTTCAGAAAATCACTCTTAAATTCGTTCCAGGTAGTCCAGTGTCGGTTGTTGTTCCTTAGCCAGATTAAAGCTTTACCTCGTAACAACTCTGGCATTACTTTAATTATTTGATTCAATTCCACGATGTACATTTCAGCCATTTCTTCTACACGTTCTACGAATCCAATAGGGTCCATTCCATTTTCAAAAGTAATATTCCATTTTCGGATTTGGTCGAGAATTACGAGTAACGACGAATTATTGGATGGCTTGGGCGGAGAATCTTTTTGAAATCCATATTCGGGGTTTGTTGGCGACATCTTCTGTACTTTTTGATCGTTTGTTACCCCTGTGCTTGACTCTCCATGTGACCTTTCCGCGGAAATGTGGGGAAGGGCGTACTCTGTTTTTATTGGGGATAATACTATTGCTTCTGCTCCACACGGTGTTACGGTTATAAGGGGTTGTTTTGTGACGGCTCGCAATGTCGGCGATTTGGTCGGACTGGTACTTTCATGTTTGTTCTGCAACTCTATAAGCCGTCTGTATACATCGGCTTCATGGTCGTTGTGGAGAAATTTAGCCCATCTTTTTCGGAGATCGTCCACTTTTCCAACTGGATCAAGATTGAATTCAGTAAGATATGTTACCAAGTCTTCTTGCTTTAGCATATAGGCCCAGGAGACCTTCAACATTGTCTTTTCGTTTGACATTTTTTTTTTTTTTTTTTTTTTTTTTTTTTTTTTTTTTTTTTTTTTTTTTTCTTTTTTTTTTTTTTTTTTTTTTTTTTTTTTAAACTGTTTTTTTTTTTCACTGGGTTTTCATCTGTATTTGTCTAATTATTGTTCACTCATTTATTTATTCTTTCTCTCTTTTATAGTCCCTGCTCGGGCGCCATTGTGACGACGTGTTTTCACTTTGAAGCTGGGGTAGGTTCAGCGGGGGCCAGAGTCGTCACAAAAATTTATTTGTTAGGACATAAAGAGAGAGAGAGAGCGAAGCAAAAATATTTTCTTAAAACGTTATAAATTTATTTCCTTAAATAACACTAAACACTACACTAAACACAATAAAATCACGTTCAGAACTTTTTACGAAGAACACTAAATCACAAAGTTCAGTCGAAATGTTAATAAACGGGTAGCAGTGGTGGCAGCTTGGCACAGCGGCGGCCCGATGAATAGGCGAGCGACGAATAGAGAGTGGCGGCAGCTTGGCACAGCGGCGGCCCGATGAATAGGCGAGCGACGAATAGGGTGGCGGCGGCTTTGGCACAGCGGCGGCCCGATGAATAGGCGAGCGACGAGTAGTAGTGGCGGCAGCTTGGCACAGCGGCGGCCTGATGAATACGCGCACGACGAATCGGGTGGCGGCAGCTTTGGCACAGCAGCAGCCCGATGAGTACGTCAGTCGCCGTCAACGCAGCCCGAAGAATAGGGAGTATTGCTACAGCCCTCACTCGACCCTGCGTTCAGTCGCCGTCAACGCAGCCCGAAGAATAGGGAGTATTGCTACAACCCTCACTTGACCCTGCGTTCAGTCGCCGTCAACGCAGCCCGAAGAATAGGGAGTATTGCTACAACCCTCACTTGACCCTGCGTTCAGTTGCCGTCAACGCAGCCCGAAGAATAGGGAGTATTGCTACAACCCTCACTTGACCCTGCGTTCAGTCGCCGTCAACGCAGCCCGAAGAATAGGGAGTATTGCTACAACCCTCACTTGACCCTGCGTTCAGTCGCCGTCAACGCAGCCCGAAGAATAGGGAGTATTGCTACAACCCTCACTTGACCCTGCGTTCAGTCGCCGTCAACGCAGCCCGAAGAATAGGGAGTATTGCTACAACCCTCACTTGACCCTGCGTTCAGTCGCCGTCAACGCAGCCCGAAGAATAGGGAGTATTGCTACAACCCTCACTTGACCCTGCGTTCAGTCGCCGTCAACGCAGCCCGAAGAATAGGGAGTATTGCTACAACCCTCACTTGACCCTGCGTTCTGTCCAGTCCAGTCTCCACAAATAGTCAAGGCTTATTGTTTGGCTTACTAAGACTCAATTCAACCGAGGTTGCGCGCCTTTTCTTCCTCCCAATCACACTTGACTTACCAGCCATCAACAGAAGACTGATCTCGATTGTGTGAAATGCGTCTCCTTTTATACCTTTTTGGCTGGACAACGATTGTTGTTTTCTCATGACAGCAGCTGATCCCAATCTGACAGTTTTGCGTAGTTCCGCCATTTGCCACCAGGGGTTCCAATGTTGTATTTTAAGTATACTTCTTTCTACTAGGGGACGTAAGTAAAAATGGTATTTAAAATAATAATGTACCCCAAAAACGAAAGCATGACTTTTGGGCGTTACACTTGTTTCATCATATCTTTTTAAAATCATCTTATTTAAATCATCATCTTATTTAAAATCAAGATATCAAACAAATACGCTCATGTGTTGATAAATCAAATGCATGATGTTTTTTACCGTTTCTATCAGCCCAACAAAATAGCAATACGCACGAATCTTAAATACACGAAGAAAGCTGTAATCAGAGATCGAAAGTAGGGTCGGCCGACTATATGATACTTCACTATGGATATTCAGTAGAGCAACCTGTAACAAATAAACGTTTACATTCGGCGAAAAATGCCCCCACAACGAGAACATATGAAAAAATAGAAAAATCCTATGAGGGTCCAAATGAGGCCAGAGCAAATGTCTTAATATCATCAAGTGAACCTGAAACGAAAAGACTTAGGCATGCGGCGTGAAGAAGATGAAACTTTGGAACATTATCTTTGCCACTGCCCAGCTTTTACAAACTATAGAGACTTTTCAGGGAGAGACACTTTTTTATATTTGGAGCACGACAGGGTAAAATAACTTAATAACATGAGAGGTTTCGTTCAAAATACGGAATCTATAATATAAGATAAAATACTATACTACAGGGTGAGATAAAAAACTGCAACAATGTCAAACTCCCTAATTTTTACATTTTTTAACTGTATTGAATGAAATCAAAAAATGTCGAAAATAGTATCAAATCTTTGAAAAAGTTTAAATTTGTTCGAATTAGTCACCTTTGCCACGAATTTTGGCCTTCGGCACGAATTTTGGCCTTTGGCCAATGAAACCGTCACACGCTGCCCGAATGTTGCTCTGCGGTATTTTGGCCCATTCTCGGCCAATTCTGAAGCGCTTGCTTGAGCTGATCGACACTTTGGTATTTTTTAGTGCCAACTTTGCTTTCCAAAATACTCCAGACACAAAAGGCCAACGGATTGGTATCCAGAGATTTTGGTTGCCATTGTGCGCTGGAAATGAAGCGAGGAACCTCATTGTGGCGCGTGCTGAGTGCGATGGTGCTGAGTCCTCTTGGAATGTCGAAGATCTGCGGCCAAAATGTTTGCGTGCCCAATGCTTAAATACACCTTCCAGAATATTTTCACGATAATATTCGGCATTTATTCTGCTGCTGTTATGGCGGCCCACACCATCACCATGGCCGCCGCTTGAGTTCTGGTGGCCAACCGAAGCTACACATTTTCAGCTGACCTTTTTGGCAAGTAAACACGATCATTTTGTCTGTTTACAAACTGCTGGACAGCGAATGTTTTCTCATCGGAAAAGTCGTGTGTTTACTTTTCGAACCATTTCTGCTGATATTACTGTTTTCTTCCGCCCACTTCCTTGGCGTCGGGCTATGCTACCAGTATCACGGTAACGAGCGATGGTACGAGACACAAAAGATTTATTCACATTTAAATGCTGGATTGCTCCAACGATAGCCACTTGTGGTTTTCCAGCCAAATATAAAAAAATTACACTATCACGCTTGAATTTCATCACAAATAACTTTTTTTCTGGAAAATTCTCACCACAATGCTTTTGTACGCTTGTAAACAATATAATGAGCTGTCACTGGAATAATTTTAACGAGTGGCTTAGAAATGACAGCAGTTGGTGGCAGTTTTTTCATCTCACGCTGTACTTTAGATGGGATAATGTAAATTTAGGTTTGGTTGCGTATGGTTGCTAATAACACTCATACGCTTCACAGTACGTTCAGGAGTTACTTTTAAGATAATTGCCTTAAAAAGAACTTGTAAGATAATAATTTTATAATAATTAAAACACCTAGCCTCTGCTGAAGAATCAGCATCTTTTTGTTTTGTCGACCTAGCTACCAGATTTTGTAAAACTGAGTTTCCAAGAAAAACAAGGCAATATTCGTAATGAGAACATTACAAAACCATCATCCAATGAAATCTCATTTAAAATTATTATAGTTTCTCCAATTCCATTACACAAGCCAGCCAAATGACAACTTCCCTTCCCCTATTTTTTTTGGACAAACAATGGCAAAAACAAATGAATTCCAGTGAGGAAAGGACAAAAGTCAAATGGGGCCAATTGTATAATATTCAACATCATTCAAAATATTTAACAGATATAATATATATTATAACAGAAATTATGGTATTTTTAGATTTTTAATACCAGAATAATCTGATATGAGAGCCACTAAATCGAAGGCGATATGAAAATAAGTTTTCTGCAATTGTTAGTGGATACATAAAATATCTCATCTGTAGTATGGCCAAATAAATCAGAACAGTTGCGAAGGTATAACATTTTATTTGCATACTTTTCTCAAAGTATGTATCCTAACCATATTCTATTTGCCTAACCATATTCCAAATATGCAGGATTTCCTGGTGAGCTTACCCTATGGAAACATTATGCCAGGGATAAAGGTCATCAAGCTGATAATTAAACCCATAACTTCAATCGAAAGCATCAATTGGCAAAGTATGCCAGTCCAAGGTAGCCATTGTCTTTTGCATGCAACGTTGACACGAGCTGTTACATTAAATAATGAATGTGTACGCAACAGAATGTTACTCATCGCCGTGCTGAGGCTGTTGTTTAATACCGCATCGTCGCTGCCACTGCCCTCTCTGTTGCTGTCACTGTCGCTATCGTCATTATCATTAGTTTTTTGTTTTGCCATGGTTTTAGCAAAACGCTCTGCCATTTTGACGTGGCCGAATGTCATGGCGTGCCCTAGCTAATGCAAAGAATGAATATACTGCAGTGGTGGTGGTGATGGCATAGCACCCAACCAAGCCATCCTACACTTATTGTGGATGACAGGTGTTCTTGTGTGCATTGTAACGATACAGTCAGCGGTGTAGTAGCTTTTTGTGCTAGCATTAAAAATTTGGCGCACATTTTGCCTCTGAAAATCAGCCAAAGTGTCCCAGGTAAAAAGTCTTGGCAAGTTTTAGCAAACATTTCACATTTACAAAAGTTTAGAATTTCTCTTAGGGATGTCGATCGTGGGAAGCAGTGATTTTACATACAATATTGTATGGTTTCCATGTCATCATGATTATTATTATTATTGTTTTTCAAAATAATATGAGATGCATTTTTGTATGCATTCTTGATGCAAAACCGAAAGCAACGAAATGTTGGCGATATGTCAAAAAGTGAGGATGTTTATAGGATGCCAATAATATCTAAATAATTTTATTTAATCATATTTTGTCATATGGTAACTTATGGATACCAAAAACATTCTGCAAGAGTCATTTGCCATTTGAGAGAGGCATGTGGGATACTACAAAAATCATTTGTAAAACAATTTTATAATATTAAACAAGTAAAAAAAAAAACATTAAGTTCTGCCGGGCCAAACTTTTAATACCCTCTACCTTAGGGTAAAGAAAACATTAGAATAAATGTGGCAAAAACCATTAAATATCGAATATCGGGAGGTACCGTTATATGGGGGCTATACCAAATCGTGGACCTACAAATGCAATGTTTCGCCAAAGGAGCTAGAAGCCATTATACCAACTTTCAGAAAAATTCTTGAAAAAATGTGTCAAAAATCATCAAAATACCGAATATTGGGAGGTACCGTTACATGGGGACTATATCAAAACGTGGAAATATGCATACAATATTTCGCCACACGAACTAGGACCCATTATGACCCACAAATACCAATGTTTAGACAAATCAGTGAAAAAATATGGCAAAACCATCAAAATACCGAATATCGGGAGGTACCGTTATATGGGGGCTATACCAAATCATGGACCCATACATGCAATATTTCGCCACCGGAGGTGGAACCCATGTCCAACAAATACCAATTTTTAGACAAATCCGTGAAAAAATGTGGCAAAAAAATTAAAATACCCAATATCGGGAGGTACCATTACATGGGGACTATATCAAAACGTGGACCTATGCATACAATATTTCGCCACACGAACTAGGACCCATTATGACCAACAAATACCAATTGTTAGACAAATCCGTGAAAAAATGTGGCAAAAAAATTAAAATACCGAATATCGGGAGGTACCTTTATATGGGAGCTATACCAAAACGTGGACCTTTACATACAATGTTTTGCCACATTCACAGGGACCCGTTATGACCTGCAAATACCAATTTTCAGACAAATCTGTGAAAAAATGTGGCATAAATCATTAAAATATCGAATATGAGGAGGTACCGTTATATGGTGGATATACCAGAACGTAGACCGATATATCTCATTTTCAATACCAACCATCCTAGACACAATACAAATTGCTCTGCTAAATTTTGGGAGCTCTACGTCAAATAATGTGGGCTGCATCGTGATTTCAACAGACAGACGGACGGACAGACAGACAGACGGACATCGTTATGGGGTCTACGACGAAAATTTAAGGATGTTACAAACGGAATGACAAAGTTAATATGCCCTCCATTCCAAGGTGGAGGGTATAATTAAAGCCACTTTGGGGTTATGGAAAATATTTCGTTTTTCGGTCCACGAGAGCTCAGAATGCCTTATCACAACAGCTTCATTTGGAAATTGTAGTCCAAATCTCCAAAATACCGAAAATCAGAAGGTGCCAATTAATGCGGGTAATGACATTTTCTCCAGGAATGATTTGTACCCTCTGAGAATCCGACTAGCTTAGTTGCAGTTTATTAACTACTCAATGCCATCGACTTTATTCCAGCTATCTGTCGCCAGTTCGGGACGGATTCCGAAGTAATTTTTTAAGGACAAAACGCAATATTTGTCGCCACTGATTTATTTTTCATAGCAAACATCTTAAAACTTAAGATATCAATAATTTGTTCGAAATGTTGGAAGAAGTACCCGTGCCCCTCAAAATTCGAAAAAATTATTAGGTTTTTGGAGGCACTAATCGAAATTGTATTGACCAACGTTAATGACTTATCGTATGGTAATTTTGTACTCAAATAGACTATATTTCGAATTACTGCCAATTCGGCTGAAAATGTTGCTAATTTGGTATAAAAACCAGTAAGGAAA